GATGCTGACGTAAGTAGAGGACCATTTCACATACAAACGATTATGTAAATAACTTAGTCACGCAAAAAATATGTTCTTTTCATGTAAAGGGGGCTTGGAAGAAAAGTAAAACTGATACACAAATCAAAATGATTTTTTTTCTTCGCTACTTTGAAAGAAATCTGCAAGAATACTTGCGTTTGAATAATGAATAAATATTTCGGAATTGTTGACAGCATGTACTTAATTTTAATGAAAACCTCTAGTTAAATACCTTCAAATATCTTACAAAGAAAAAGGAAAAAGCAAAAAGTTAGAAATTTCCTTCTGTAAATCAAAGCCTTCCAATCTAAGAATGTAACTTATTAGTGTCTACTTCCTTGCAAATTCGATTAATGCTAACGGGGAAGCCTTATGCTTTTTGGCAGAGGTTTTGGAGTATAATTGATTATTGTATCGCATTATAAATGGCATGCAGTTCAAAAAAATGAAAAATAAGCAAAAATTCAACCAATTCTGGAATCATTAAATCAAGAACAATTTAACTAGAAAGTAAAGAATAGATGAAACATTGTTTCCGCGAAAAGAACAAATAATATGTATAACATTGTTTGTTTTTGCAAGAAAGTATACACTAAATTAGACATGACACCAATCGTATAATGTTGAAAATTAATGAAACTGATCCATTAAAGTTGAAATAAAAGCGAAGTGGATAACTTGTTTTCAACGTGTGTTCATAAATGGGGTGAAATTAATTATTTATAATGTCCCTTTTTACAAGCTTAATTTTTAGGCTGGCCTAATTTCAAATTCTTATTTCTGGTACAAAAGTGCGTAGGAGAAGGAGGAAACAAAATTTCATAAATTCATTAAAGCTCTTAATTATGGCTATAAATACAGGAATTTTCCTGGAAATGACAAACGTATAACGAATAAAAAGCATTTAAAATTACAGTTTTCGCAAACTGGGAAAGAGTAAAGAAGTTTTTTTAAAGCAGATTTCATCTCGTTTTGTTAAATTTTATTGCTAAAGCTGTGTTCTATTTAACGATCTCAGAATTGTGTGTATAAAAATAAAAGTATGTTTTTTCGAAATAATAAAATGTAGCATAAAAAATAAGAAGGTTTATAGGAAATGAATAAATAGTTATTTGAAGCACTTGAATGAAATTTTCAAATTTCTGTTGCCTGGACAAATTGCATGAATAGCAAAAACGAATTTGTCTTCAATGTAAAAATATCATGACTTTTACATTTTAGTAGGGGGTAAATGCTTATATCATTGTAGTATCGAGCCGTTGTTGGTTTATGGTCTTACACACAATTAATGGACTCGGATTAAACTTATGAATTTAATCAGACACACAACGTAAACTATATACACTTCTATATTCTACCAACTGATGTATTTCCACAAATAGAAATACATCAGTTGATAGAATTGTTAAAAATTACCACACTGAGCATCCCGCCTCTTCCACCGAAAGACTCCAATTCACCCTTTTCCGACCCAGAGGACGCTACCTCTTTTCGGGATAATAATTTTGAGGACTACATTCATATTCAGTAACAACATATGTCTTTTGCGCATGCGATGACTATTGAATTGAATTGCTGGCCTTTCAATGATGATACCAAGCATTAAGTTGTGTTCTATCAAGCTGTGTCTATTAAGCTCTGTTCTAGCAGTGATACCATCCCTTAATCTCAGCTGAAGTAGTATTTCTGAAATAGCACATGGTTGCAGAACTTTAAAAAGAATTGCCTAGCAAATCCGATATATCATATGTGTGATTCAGCTTTGGTAATTAAACAAGCTTTTTATAATTATTTTATTTTCTGGATATAATCTAGTCATACAACTTCCTGAGGGCTAACTTTACTGTTCAAATGAATGAATCCTACGAGTAGAATTTTTACATGGAATAGCAGTTACTCGATCATCAGAAAATACCTAAAACTCAGTGCAGCCGTTCATTATTGTTATGCGTGCCTGCAGTTACAAAACACCACATTTGTAGCATATATTTTTATAAGAGTTTGTCACAATTATCATTATTCAGGTCCTTTCTATAGCAAAAATTTACATCATTGATATTCAACTGACAAAAAATTATATCTTTGATTTAGGATTCACGTATGATATTCACGAGCTCAATTTACCTGGGTTATTTCTGAAAACGTGAGAGGGATATAACTAAGTGAATATTTCTTACGCAATAGACAGACAAAACTAACTAGTTATTTTGCGCTCAACAGACCCTTTTGTGAAACCTGTGCAACACAGTTTAACGCCATTTTGTAAACAGGAAAAACAGAACTTAGTTATCTCTGTTTCCGAACAATAGTGCTTTGATACAAAACATTATCATTGGCCGTAGATTTAATCCTCCATAGCATTTTCGGAAACAATCGGATTTTTTATATGATCTTGAAACTTGTGAATTGCTTTCATCCATTACGTTGTTTCCCTACTACATCGGCTTTCAGTATGCACACAATCCTACCCAGACTCCGTTGAAAAAATAAATGCATCCAGAAAAATATCGAGCCACAACTACGAAACCCGGTTTGCAAATGTGGATTGGAGAGTTGTGTAAATGGTTAATTTTGCAGCACCAGATGATAATGTAGTGCGATACAACGCGCGTCTGAAGTGCGCAGCTGGTAGAAAGTGAAAGGGCAGGTGCGGCGAGTGATGAGCATTTACAACCGCGCTGACGGGCTTGGATATACGACATTGTAACGAAAGATGCCTTTAAGATGTAATCGATGGCGTTACAAACAGTTGTCAGATTTTGAGAGGTAATCGCATCATAGGACTAAAAGAGGCCGGTTTGTCGAATAGACAGAACTTCCGGCACATTGTTCGAAGCGAAATGATCGCTGTCCTTTGCTGAAGCCAGTTGTTCAGTGAAGGCATATTCAATCGTCTTAGTAGCTGTGGACATCCTAGAGCCACCAATGCACGAGAGGATCGCGCAGTTAGAAGAGTTGCCACGTCCGCATAAACATTTACTCTATCTTCGATTCAACACCATTTGTCATCTCGCAGGGATTCCGGGACATCCAGAGATTCATTTCACAGAAGACTAATAACTCTGGGTTCATAAGATGCTTACCATTCATACTGCACTATAAGCGGTGTCGTCTTGCATGGCGCCGCTATCTTTCAAGCTGTACACGATCCGATTGGAGAAACGTGATCTTCAGCGTCGAATCACTTTTTTCTCAAAGATGATGACCGCCGCATACGTGTCTGGAGACGAAGAGGTGAATGGTCCTATGTACCATTTGTTATCGAGCGACAGATAGCCAGAACACACGGTGTGACAGTCTGGGCAACGATCAGATGCGACAGCCGTTCACTATTAATCGTGCTGTGAGATACTCTGAGTGCTTTCAGATATGTTGATGAATCATTTTGCAGCCAATCATACTGCCTATGCTAGTAGGCCGTCCAGGTTCTGTTTTCCAGCAGACTGCGCTCGGCTACATACAGCATGAAATTCCCTACAGTGTTTTAGACGTGTTATTGTCTTCGACTGGCCTGCCAGGTCTCCAGATCTGTTATCTACTAAATATGTTTGGAATATGTTGGACAAGAAATTCAACAGTGTACAAATACGTCCCAACTCGCTGACTAGTTGCTGCATTTAAGATATAGCCTACCGTAGAGGGACATTGGTAACTTCATAGATTTCATGTCCAACCGAATATCTGCTTGTTCAGCTGCCAAAATTGGTTTAACCACCTACTGCTTTTTCCATTCTTTGTATAAACGCCTTTTTCTCCCTAGTTTTTGATCATTTATTCGTCTAATCGAACACTATAGTACCGCCGAGTTTCGTAATTCTGACTCTGTTCTTTCTGGGTGCTTACAACTGTTTTTGCAACTGAGTGTATTTTAGATTTCTGACAGTCTTTTCTATTTGTTGCATTTGTATATACTGCGGTTACCTCAAGTTTCATGCGGCATTTATGTCACTTCACAATATGCAATAGTTTGAGTGATATATTTATATGGCTTGAGTCAAGTAAAGGTCTTCGCTGCGATTGTGGAACTATTATTTATTTCAATTTCATTAGCATTATTATAATAAATGTACTATAGGCATAAGTGTTATAATTTATTTCCAACATTTCATTTGCTGCGGTGACTTTTTAATTATTTAGCTATTGTTCATGTTATTGAGTCACGTACTTTTTGTGAACAAGGATTTCACTTATTCATCTTGCTTTAAGTGATATAAAAATATTAGTTAGCATTATTCTTTGAGTTGTATCGTATTTCCAAGATGTGGTAAGCATAATACGCTACGGTGAAAAGTATTTCGAACGAAAACGACTGAGTGCTATTGTCACGCAGAGTTTCATTGGTACATACGGTTAGAAACGCTACAACATCGAATTATCTACAAAGCAGTAATTATTTTTATGTTAATGTCTTCATCTTGAAAATTTCTTTACATATTTTTCTTTTAAAAAAAATTTAATAATTATTTTGTAACATAAATGAATGAGCAGTTTAAGCATAAAACAATACATCTTTCATAGTATTAAAATGTTTTATAATTGTTAACTTTTTACAGTGTCAGTTTGGACGCTCTTAGCACACAAAATATACTCCTTCCACACGTCTGTAAGACCCATTAGCGGCCGAACGGTAAAGTCGCGTATCATGGATTGTTTGGCGGGAGATTTAAATCCTGACGAGCGGGTGGCTGCATGGGCATTTTCGTGGTTTCCGCCATGTATAACGTGCGTACTACTCAGTTTCCCTTGAAACGTCCTCCACGAAGGCATCCTTCTTCTTAGAAGGCAGATAGCCCTCGAGTGTTTTGTCATCATCAAATAAACTAAAACAAATAAATAGGCAGGTATAAATGTGCATTTTTCGAAACCTAGTATCAGGAAACTATAAAGGTTTATACTATTAAAAATTATTATTAATTTTTTTTTTTTTTTTAGATTTGTTATAAAAAGTTAATATCTTTTTTCCTTTACTTTTTTTTCAGATGCTGTTATCCCGATGTTGTATTTTTCTGGACACTCTTGTGATACGCGATTTCATATCTACTGCCACAGTGTTATTGTTGGCAAATCAGAGCAGGAACTTGCGTCGCCTTCTGGTGAGAAGGAATGCTTTTATTAGGAAATGTGATTGGCCTCATAATCCTGAATGGACAGACACATTTTACAGTTGGTTGCGTACAACTTCCGGATCTTATGAAAAGACAGCGCAGGAAGTTTCAAGGATGTTAGGATGCAAGTGGCTACCACTGAGTGATGAAGAATTTCAGAGACTTAAAATATAATTAACTGCACTAATGCAAAATTTATTAATTTTATTTTTATATATAAGTCATTTTGTAAAATTTATTCTCATAAAGCTATTTTCATAAATAAACATCAATAATTTTAATCGATAATTGATTATTAGAAATAAAAGAAATGAAGGTGATTAAGATGCACCAAATTTATGAATACAAAGAAAAAATATATTTTGACATATTTTTAATCACTTTTGGCAAATATTTTATAAAGTTAACAGAACAAGACATATATCTAAGGTTTTAATGGTGTACTTATGTGCACCAAAAAGTGTATTCTAACCAAAAAAGTAATTTTAACTTTTAGTCCGTATTTCAGTGGTAGGTTTAATTCGACTGAAGTAAAGAAATGTGTTTCAGTGGTTGATTTTAAATGAGTTAGTAGATGGTATGTATAATTTATGTATAGATGTTTAAAATAATGTGAGTCGATATACATCCTTTATGAACCGATATCTGACCTGCATGACGTCATCAATATCCATTCCTTTTTTATCCTTATTATTCCAAATGTTTTGTGGTCACGTATCTTTCCCAAATTTTGTATGTTTTTCATGCAAAAGAAATGTAATAAGGATATGTAATATAGTAAATATCATTTAAAGAGTGATGTTGTGAGTAATTCAATTTCTACTGAATAATAAAGACATGTTATTGTTTGTATTCCTCGTTTTTGTAGTTTTTTAAACATCATGTGTTTCGGATAAAATCCTTTTGAACGAAGTTTTTTGAAAATTGTAATCTCAGTTAAGTAGCATATGATTTATTGAATGCTAAAAAGCAAGCGGATACCAAAATTTAAGATAAGTCATGTGTTTAAACATTTCCTTGTAAGCGGGAGTTATTTTAAAGAGGTAAGTTAAAATAAAGTACTTAAACATACAAGACGCATAAATTAAGATAAGCGAATATCTTTATGGAATTTCCTTAAATATTTCTAATATTTTAGTTTCGTATATATAGATAAGATTGAAATTTTTTTCATCCAGATATCATGCAGATTCTTATATTTCGTAAAGCAATTAATTCAATGTTTTTTTAGTCCAAAGGGACTTGAGTCCCGAAGGACTATTAGTTTCGTTTTGGCATTTTGCGTCGGACTCATAAATGTCGGTTCACTTTTCAAACTGTTGCCATAAAATGTTAGAGTCCTGCATTATATTTGAAGAAATTAAATAATGAAAATCTGCGTAAATGTATGTATATTTCTCCCATTGTCATAAAATAACGGTACATAGAGTCATCGAATTTTGAATAACGTAATCCTCCAACGAATATGAGCATGTGGAAGACCAAATTTGAAATTTGAAATTTGTTTTATGATCGATTTCCTATTTTTTAAAACTTTGACGAATTTTTGATTAACAAACTCAAGGATTTCAAAGCGAGCAATGGCAACGTTGTGCAGAAAAAACATTTTTATCTCCAGCGCGTGAGTCTCTGTATCGGAAATTCTAAAGATATGCTCGTTTTTAAATTTTTTTGCGATATTGCTGTTGCACTGGATCTTATGGTTTAAGTGCGAGGAACATGATATTTAATAAAGAAAGGTAACACACAAAATGTTAAAAAACGCCCCTTTGGACGTAATTTAAAATCTGAAACATTTCAGATTTTTTTTTTTTTTTTTTTTTTTTTTTTTATATTACCTTGGTCAGCACATTTATCAGCAAATTTTTTTTTTTTTTTACTTTTCAAGACGCGTGAAGATTCTTTCCTCAAATGCCATATTCTTTGTTTAAATATTTTTTTTTAATTTTTCCGATTAAACTTTTCACCCCTTTCATATTGAATTTCATTAGTATTTTCCTTAAATAGTTAAATGAAAAAAATAAATACTTAAATAAACCAAAGGCCTTAAGCTTTGTTGATAGCGACACTAATGTGGAATTTGAATTTTAAGAGGTTTGAGAGAATAAGAGTAAACAAAATTTTTAGTTTGCCTGAAATACGTTTTCAGTCAAGTTGTTATTAGTCAAAAGTAATCCAACTCAGATGAAATTACGTGTATCCATGGAGAATAAGTTTATTTTGTGAATGTAGACAATTGCATAAATTGCTAATTTTTTACCATCTAAATCGTTTCTGAAATTCTGTGGTGAATTAAGATATGCATTTAATATTTTTTAGTTTGTCAAGAACGCTATTTCATGTGGAGATCACTTCATTCATTAGTGAAAAGTTAAACCTCAAGTTTCCAAGTACCTGGAGAAAAATTAGCAGAGAGGCAAATAATGGATAAAATGTGTTATGGGTCAGTCCTTTCTAGCCAGAGAAAAGAGCTCAAAATGAAAGGTATTAGTTATCGGTGAATGTTAAATATACTGAACAGAACTTGTGGAGTGGAATCGTCCCGCTGGAAGCTATGCAGCGGTATGTAGACGGGCATTTTGCTACTTTGGGAGAAATGTTTAGCTGCGCATGCACTGTCTCGCTTGTATTTCTAGAAAAGAGATGATTTAAGTCAACTAATCTGATATCCTGGATTTCCAGAAGTGCTCCTTTCGATACGCTGCTGAGAATAGTAAATTGCAGTTGAAGGTTGAAATGGAGGTCAAACATGCGATTTTTCCTGAAAGTAAAGGCACTTTGTACTTCAGACACAGTATGTGGTTGTCAGACTTAGGATAATTTTTCACTTAATGATAACTGTACTCGAGCGTTGATAAAATGAGCATTACTTGAGAACAAATGTGATCTGGAGAAAGAGTGAGTACATTGGTTGTAAACTAGCAAATGCTATTCGATATTAACACACTCATCTCATCTCAAATAGCGGTTCTAAGCTCAAGGTTAAAGAAGAAACAATTAAAAAAATTTTATTTGCTAAAAGAAATGTTAAAAAAGACATTTACGTTTGAATTCAAAACGATTGAAATTTTCGGTAATGTATAATATTTATATTTCATTTCATAAAACCTGATCATAAATTAATATTCATATCTATGTTAAACAGATTTAATAATTTTTATAATACCAGCTAAAATTACTGTCTGCTTTCTTTTTGAGGAAGGTGAGTTTATAAGAAAATAATTTGTGAAAATTTTAGGGAAATCCAATAACGCATTTTATTGATAATTTGTAATTTGTAAGTAATTATATATTTCCAAATATAAATCCATCTGTATACAAACTAGGAAGTAAAATTTTATTATAAAAATACATCAGAATTGAAAATGTGCCTGCCAGCCAAATATAAAAATCTCCCTATACATCTCACAATAAGCTATACCCATAAAAATCATTATACGACCTTTGTTTTCGCAATCTTTAGTCGTAGACGACCAATATGTATTCTTCCAGTTAGATAAATGCTTTAGATAAGGAAAATATTCGAACTTTTCATTTTTTTATTCCAAAAAGCCACTTTTTATACAATAAGCCACTTCCTATAGCTATCCGTCTATTAAACATTTATACACATTTTAAAAAGTCTTTGACTCGCACACAATGTAAATTGACCGATATATTTAAAGTTTCATAGAATGTTCAGGGGCTGAAGAGAAAAAAAAATGTTAGTAAAAATGTACGATAATGAATTAAAATAAATATCTAAAATATCACTATAGAAAAACATTTTTGATGATGTTAGATTAATTGAAGAATTGTATTCTGCAGATTAACATGCAAATTATTGGTCAATGTAATTTTTTTTAGCCGAAAGGGTCGTTAGCCAAGAGAAGCTAATATCTCGAAACGGCGGTTTCCGTGGAATCACTATAAATGGCTGTATCACTTTTCAAATTGATGCATCCATGTATTATCGCCCTGTATTATATTTAAATAATGAAGAATCTGCATGAATGTATAGATGTTTCTCGCACTGTGAAGAAACAACGAAACCTAGAGCCATGAAAATTTGAATAACGTAGTCCTCTAACCGAATGTGGGCACCTGGAAGCAAGAATCTTGAACTTCGAATTTCTTTTAGTAGCTGTTTTATATTTTTTAAACTTTAACGAATATTTGATTAAAAAACTCAACGATTTTAAGGCAAGCAGTTGCAAAAAACTGCGCAGAATAAAATATTTTTATCTCCAGAGCGCAAGACTGTCTATCGGAAATTCTAAAGACAGACCATTTTTAAATATATTTAGCCCATACGCTCTCGAAATGTTTATGTATGTGTAAATAAAACGTTTTCGTACTGGAGCGTAATATAAAACTTGAAAGTTTTCAGTTTTTTTATATTCCCAAAATGGGATTTAATTTACAGAATCACACAGCATTCGGGTTTCAGAAAACTGCGGCATACTTCAATATTTGTCTAAAGCGAACTCATAGCATTGTTTACATAAATTAAATGTGAAAACTATTTCTAATTTAATGATTTTCTTAGGAATATTAAATTATAATTATAAAGAAATAAATCCGCATGAAAATTTTAGTATTGTAGCATTTGAAATCTTGTGCGAAAATTCTTTCGAAATAATAAATGAGAAAATATGTAAATTAAGTAATATTACATACTAATAAATCACAAAAGAATATCATTAAATGACATTTAAGGAGGAAAGGAAGCTACCTGTAATTATTCTAATTTATTTTTCAACTTCTCAAAGCAGATCAAACAAGATGACTACCCAAATATTAAAATTATGCTTATCATTCAATTTTTGCGACACAAAAAAATATACAAGTATATATTCTCAAATACAGCTAAAAATACCAGAGGAAATTAATTTCACAAAACTAATTTTGAAATTTCAAATGCCAAAATATGAACATGTACCTCATTTGAAGTTTTCTGTAGCTGAAAGTATATGTTTACTACTAAAAATTGCGAAATTAAATGTCTCTGTGATATTTCTTTAACAATTTGAAAGTGAACTCCAATGATGGAACACAGCAATAACTTTTATTTTACACTAAAAAAAGGACTACATACAAACAACAGAAGAAAAAGTATATAAACTTATAAAAAAAAAAAAAAAAAAAAAAAAAAAAATTACCTGCTTCCTGCGAGAAAATGCATATGGATTTCGAGCCTGCGTTTTAATACTGCTAGTAACCTATACATAATTTAATATTCATCTATTTCAAATGCATCAGAGATTAATAAAGATATTAAAGCTGTTACACCTCGTAAGAAAGGTTTTAGGTACGATGTATAAACTGTTTTAGGAAAGACAACGTTAACCTCCTCCAACCGGCCAAGGATTTCATTACGAAACCAAAGAATTTTTCCGAAAACCGCCATGAGAAAGGAATTTTTAAAGATTTTACATCGAAATGCCTCTGCCTCAATTTATTAACTTTTAATATATTTACTCAATTGCTTGGACATAATTTAAGCTATTTATTATATAGATATCTTTATATATATATAAGCTTAAATGCGATGATTTATTTTGTTGTACATAAGTTGATATAGATGACAGCTTGATTGGAAAAGGCAAAAATTCCCGTTTTGAATCATGGCCGAAAAATTTGCTAGATTACTAGGAAATACGGTTAAGTGAATGAAATTTTGGAAACATCACGACCAGTTTTGTAGAAACATCACAGTAGAACACTAGGCATCTAATCGCAACTACAATTTTTTTTATGCGCAATTACATCTTAAGCAGTGGAGAACAGCCAGCAGAGGCTAAGCGACACATTGCCAGCAGGAAGACAAAGTGGCAAAAAACGATGTGTAGTAAGTTTCAAAACTTCGAAAT